ATATCAAAATCCTAGCGCTCAAGAAGGTCAAGAAGCCGGTCTTACAGCAGGACATGGGTCAAATCCTTATGCATCAGCTATTCTTGTTCGAGTTGGCCCTGAGACCAACGCTGGCGGTTTCGTGATCGGCGGTTTTACCATCGACCCCAAGCGAGTCTTTGGAGGTGAAGATGTCGCGTATATGAAACGATTTGCTGGTGAATTAACTCGTTACACTAGCAAATTGAGACTTTAGCTTCATCTGATGATCTTGCTATTCATACACGATCATGGTTGTCATCACCTAATTATCATCGATATTTCTGTCCACATCAATCATCTTTGTGAAATACCGATCCCTGCTATCTTTTTCCTCTTCTGAAGATGTAATACTGAACGTCCACTCACATCCCATTAATTTTTACTGAAAAGCTTGCTGACTTTTGGTCCTCTAAGGATATAAATGCGACTATACTTTTATCAATCGCGCGTACCCGGAATATTCATTAATTTCTCATCTCTATTTCTCTGTATTTGACTCGAATATTCTACTATCTCTTGTGTCTTTCTTTTCATATCAAGTACCTTTTTTCAGTTCGTCTGATGCTAATTTTGTCATAGGTATTGCACTATTCTTTAGGTCTGCGGAGTGTAATAAATTGTTTTTAATGAGTTTTGATCGGAAAAATCACACATCGTACATAACGACATTTGAGTACACAAATTTGCCCGCAAAACTCGACCAATTTGGCGGTGAATCTGCGGCAAGCTTTTTGCAAACGACTTTACATAACGACATTTGAGTACAAAGAGGCCTGAAGGTAAAACAAAATTAACAGACAAATGATGGTGAATTGTCATGAACGATTTATGTAAGAAATAGCGCAATGATTTCGGGGTGGAACTCCCTATCAAAGGGTTCAGCTACTTTCGTACGGAGTGAGTTGTGAAAAATCATTACTCTCTTTAGCCCCATCGTTGAACGTCACTCGCATGTCCATTACCAAATAATGCCAATTCAGGATATCTTTGAAGGCAGACGAGGACTGCATTTGAATCTTTCGCCATCGCTCATATTTTATTTACGGCGGTTTCTTGTTTTTAACGCTGGACGGCTGCGGTGCGCTGGTGTGCTGACAGCGGTGAGTTGCGGCGCACCGCAGCGTTTTCTCCTTAAAAAAGCGCACCGAAGCGGGCATCGTATTCCCAGTTGCGTTGCCGCTACACAGCGGAAAAACATTGTAAAGTTCTTGTACTACTAATGAAATTGAAATAGAAACACATTTGTTTCCTAGTTTCCACATTTATCATCCTACTTTACTTCCTGCCCCCAAAAGCCTCAATGGCTTTGTTCACCTTGCTATGCTTGTGGGCTAAGGGGCCACCTTGACATATCCAGAGTCTTGAACCTACACAGCACTCCATGGTTTTTGGCATGAGAGAGACATGATTGGATGAACAGATATCTGCTGCTGTAGATAATGTCCTTTCAACTGTGGCCAAACCAGCAAGGAGACTCATATATACAGTCTCTGGCCAGAGCAGCCAGGACTGGAAAGGTGTGCTGTTCGCCTGTAAATGAACAAGAAGGATGGGAATTTTACAAAAAACACCACATATGTTCCACCAGGGAAGGATAGCTTTGGTTTTGCGTGTGTTGTCAGTGGAAGCCATTTGATTTGCTCCCTTCAGGTTAATGCAGCGACCCGGCCCGAAAAAAGCGGGTCGATCCCGGGATCAGGACCGGGTCAGCCCGATCTCGGCGTGGGCATGGGCAAAAGCGGGTCAGCCCGGTCCGACCCGCATAATGTAGGCACAGGGGAAGTTTGGGCAAATTCGCTCTCAGGTGGGCAAAAAAGATAATAAATTTTTATTTCAGTCGCCTACGATACGTATTTCTCATGTTTTAAAAGACTACCATATGTGTATTACAGGTTGCAAGTCCACATTTTCAATAAAATATTTGATAATTTGCAAAAATTGAACAGATAGACTCATAGAG